GAGCTCACGGCTCGGGGGAGACCAGCGGCGTGCGCGGCTTCAGCCTGTTCGGTGGGCGTGGCTTATGCGGCAGCCTGTGTGGTGGGCACGTCGGGAGCAGCGTGTGACGTGCCACTAAGGCCGCGTGCGGAGCCCCGGACAGGCTAAGCAATCGATAGCCAACGTTTTCAATCGTCGATTTTAATCGACTTAATCGATTTAACTGTTGCAGCTCTAAACCAAACCAGCAACACCAGGGGATGACAGCGCACCAGTATAGAATGGCCCAATATCCATGGGGGTGTAAGCTGCTTTATACAGATGTATAGAGGCGTCCACTATACCCCTCCACTCCGCCAGAGAGGGGGAATCTTTTTGCTTCCAGTGCAGCACTACCAATTTCCTCGCATAGAACAACAGCACCCCAATCAGTGTACATAGGGCAGTGGTAGGAGCAGCCTGTTCAGTAAGCCCCAGCAAGCACATAGAAATGGTCAACGGGATGGGGAGTGCTATTACCTGCGATATGAAGTCTGTGACTGATTTCCTGTACCCCACAATCCACGGACAGTCCCAGAAAATGTGCCTAAAATCGTCCGGCTGTGCCGAGCAGCGCCAGCAGGAGAAGGAAGCATCCCTATATGTCCTTGCAAGCCGTGCAGGCGTGTAATATACTCTAGGGTTTTGAATTGAATGAGACGGTCCCGAACTGACACCAAGTGGGAGAAGGGGTAATCCCACACCTCCTCCTGTGGGAGCAAGGTTAGCCTTATTCGGGAGGGTCTGGGCGGACGAAAGTAGACGATGCCTGGGTCAAGGGCATAGTTCGAAGGGGCTACCATCTGGAATTCAAGCAATCGCCTCCCAGGAGGTTTTTTTTGTGGAAACGGGGTTTGACCCCCCCTGAAGCCGGGAACGGCGGACGTTTTAGGATTGTTGCAGGAAGGGCTTGATTTGGGTCTTGCTTGCCGTACCCCGAAGATGCATATTTCAGCCTCATCGGCCTTAACGGGTGTACAGTGGACTATCGTTCCGTTAGTTGCTCAGTTCATGAAAGGAGTGATTAGGATTCGGCCTCCTCTCAGGAGTATGGTACCAAAATGGGACTTGCCGCTAGTCTTGGAGAAGATAATGGATTCCCCTTTCTTTCCTTCAGATTCTTGTTCAATGTGGCATTTGACACTGAAGGTGGTGTTCCTAACTGCGATTGTTTTTCGGTCAGGAGGGTATCCGAGATTGCTGCTTTTTTCTTAAAAGGAACCGTTATGTACGTTCTATGAAGAGAAGGTGGCTCTGCGACCTATTCCCGAGGTTCCTCCTAACTGGGACATTGTTCTACTAGCTCTGTCTTCTCGGGAACTCCCAGCAGACTCTCTTCGATGGGACAGATTGGATCTGGTCAATCTCTTGTCGGTCTATCTAAAAGGAATGGCGGAGTTCAGAAAGGAGGAGGAGCTTTTTGTTTGTCCTGTAGGCCCAAGGAAAGGTAAAGCAGCAAGGCCAAGAATAATCTCTTCTTGGATAATCAAACGGATTCAGGCAGCTTACTAAGCAGCGGGGCTTTCCTCCCCTGAGGGACTTGCGGCACATTTAACAAGGGGGATGGCGGCATACTCAAAAGTTTCCCCAGAAGCGGTGTGCAGGGCAGCAACCTGGAAGTCTGTAAACACATTCGTCATTATCGACTGGATGTTTCTTCTTCGTCAGCTGGGGCTTTTGGGGCAGCAGCCCACTCGGCTGGTCTTCACAATGAATAAAGTTATTTGTTATGAGCAGATTACGCTGAGTTGTCATGAGCAGATTACGCTGAGTTGTCTATGATTTATGGTTTGCCTTTTAAAATGTTGGTTTCTTCTCAGGTTGTATCCCATCCCATGGTAGCTAGTTATGTCTCATAGGTATGCTGACATGAGGCCAGGAAAACAGAACATTGATATCTCATACTTACACTAATTTTCCTTTCCTGGCCTATCCTCATGTCGGCATAGTTTTTTGCCCTTCCTAGAGTGTCCTTTTGCGAGCCAAAAGGGAACACAAATGGGGGGGGGGGGGGGGGGGGGTGGAGCTCAAGCTGATTTTTATTGGCTAGTAAAGGGTTGTCCTGGGCGGGATCAGAGGCGGAGCTGACCCATAGGTATGCTGACATGAGGATAGGCCAGGAAAGAAAAATTACGGTATTGCATCTGCCCGCTGCCTGCTGTCAATCGGCAGAGGAGGGGCCTGAAGGAGAAAGTTCTCTATCAGGTCCTCCCATGCTGATTGACACCAGATAGTGGGTGGGTGCAAAAGCCAGCCTGCTATTGGCTATTGCCTTTTACAATATCCAATAGCATGGCTCCCAGCCTGCAGATGAAATTAAACAAAAAATTGTAGGATTCTGAGTTATGTCCTGAAGCGGAATATTCTATGTGACAATGTGTGTATGTTTCTTCTTTTCAGGATGTTTCTCTACTTCTGGCAATATCTTTATAGTAACTACTTCAGATTTTGGTTGAAATGGTTTCTAAGACAAATTTATGGGAAATGCGAGTTGCAGCGGATTTGTGGCCGATCCAAGGACGGAGCTTTCAGGACCCATAGGATAGGTAACATGAATTAAAGCTCAAGTTCAGTCTGCCTATATTTTGCCTATCACGCAGCTTGCGAGCTGTGTGTCTTATCTGTGGCTGCTTGTAAATAAACAGCCCCAGAGCACGCACGTGAGTGATCTTTTATGAATGAACAGGCAGCGCTGCAGGGCGGCGTCATACACAGCAAAGCCCCAGACGCAGCTTATTGTTCATTTTATTTTAGGAAAAATATGATCCGAAAATGTCATTTGGTTTCTTTTTCTCTTTTAGAATACTCTTTGGATCATTCAAAAAACAAGGTAAGATCTATTGAAAAAAGCTTACAGTGTGTGAACATAATACTCTATACCCTTGGTTCTCAAATGGTAGGTCGTGACCCTGTGTTCAGTTCCTCTGCCTCCCACTAGCGCAGCACTGTCAGTTCTCACGCCGAGCAGCCATTCAAAATATGCTGCCCGGTGCCCAGTGTCAGCTTGAGGTGGGGTGGAGCTATGGCCGCGAGGGAGCTCCTCCCATACATACATTGCGCACAGCTCCCTCACATGTCCTGTAGAGGTACCTGGACCGGAGTGACATCACATTCTGGCTCCCGGCACCTCTACAGGCCACGTGAGGGAGCTGTACAAGCAATGCACATATGGATGGAGCTCCGTCACAGCGCCGCAGCCCGAGTTTCAGCTTGAGGTGGGATTGGATGGGGCTATAGACGCGAGGGAGCTCCATCCATACCTGCATTGCTTACAGCTCCCTCACGTGTCCTGTAGAGGTGCCCGGACCGGAGTGATGTCACATTCTGGCTTCCGGCACCTCTACAGGGCGCGCAAGGGAGCTGTACAAACAATGCACATATGGATGGAGCTCCGTCACAGCACAGCAACCCACACTGGACCCCAGGCTGAGGATCCACTCCAGTTCTCGTACGGTGACTGGGTGGATGAAAGAAAAAAAAAAATGGAGTGTGTATGTGTGTGATAGAATGTCTGAGATTGTGTCTGTGGTTCTGTATGTCTGTCAGTGTTTTTGAGGGTCCATTCACACTAGTGCGGTGCATTCATCGCACAGTACTGTGCCACTAATGCCCTGTATCATGCAACCACACCTATCGTGCATTCTTGTGTGGGAGGTGCGTTGCCATTCATTTTAATGGTACCCCCAAACGCACCTCCCAGCCCACAGTTCATACGCGCAGTACCTAATGCGTGCGTTTCATTGCAGTGCGACTTGGGTCGCGACTTAATGACTGAGAACAAATGTGGGTCCTGAGGTTACACAGGTTCAGAACCACTGCTCTATACCCTTGGTTCTAAACTGGTGGGTCGCGACCCCATGTTCAGTGGGTCACGGCATGCCTTCCACTTTTCTAGGTGAGGGGCTCCTCAGCCTCCCCCTAGCGCAGCACTGTCAGTTCTCGCACCAAGCAGCCATTCAAGATATGCTGCACGGCGCCGAGTGTCAGCTTGAGGTGCGCTGGAGCTATGGCTGCGAGAGAGCTCCATCCATACCTGCATTGCTTACAGCTCCCTCACATGTCCTATAGAGGAGCCTGGACTGGAGTGACGTCACGTTCTGGCTCCCGGCACCTCTACAGGGCACGTGAGGGAGCTGTACAAGCAACGCACGTATGGATGGCGCTCCGTCACAGCACAGCAGCCCACACTGGACCCCAGGCTGAGGATCCACTCCAGGTCTGGTAAGGTAGGGAGACTGGGTGGATCTTAAAAAATGTTTAAAATACATTTTGTTTTTGTAGTGTGTATATGTGTGTCTGTCAGTGTGCTGGAGGGGCAATCGCACCTACTACACGTTCTTGTGCAGAAGGTGCGTTGCCATTTATTTGAATGGCACCCCAAACGCACCTCCCGCTCGCAGTTCAATCGCCTGCACCAGAACGCGTGGTGCCGCAGTGCCGTGCGTTCCATTGCAATGCGACTTGGGATCGTGACTTAATGACAAAGGACAAATGTGGGTCCTGAGGTTACACAGGTTGAGAACCACTGCTCTATACCTAGCACCAATAATGCAATCAACACCTGGTTGCCACTAACAGATGATGCGGATTGGAGCGACATTCACCATATTTATTCCCAGAGAATGTTGTGTACAAGTCATTCTGAATTGAGAAAGCTGGTCAGATGACCGGCGAAACGTCTTCAAGAAAAATACAAGTCCAGTTGTCTTGACTTATTTTTTTTACAGATACTTAATACCTTGGTTATTAAAGGAGAACTATGGGGTCAGGGCTTTTCCCCATAGTTCTCCTAAGGGTAATGGGAGGACATATACTAGCGCCGTCCCGTGAGCCAAAGCTCAGTATATAGGGAGCTACAGCTCGCGGTATACTGAGAACGCCGCAGCCGGGACGGATCCCGACAATACTGTCGAGATCCACCCAGCTACATGATTGACAGCTAGCCCTGCCTATCTAGAGGCAGAGCCAGCTGTACCCTCCCCCGTCCGTTCCGCCAGTCAGCTCTGGAGGATCGGACAGGGGAGGGTGGGAATCCCTGCAGGGAGCCGTGACTGACAGTCGCGGCTCTCTGCAGGGACATGATCGAGAAGTGAGCGAGCGACGGTATGTGTTCCCGATCTATGGAGCCGACCTGTGACAGTTTCATTATCACAGGTCGGTTAGAACTATGAGGAGGAGTGATTTTCACTCCCCTCATAGTTCTCCTTTAAGATTCTGCTTGGAGTGCACTGCTTCTAATCTCTGCCCACCAATACAGCAGAGATCCTTTTGGCTGGAGAAATGGGGGCTTGGATGTTTGAAAGGATTGGCACTTGCTCAGCAGGATCTCTGCTGTATGTATGGGCAGAGATTAGAAACAAAGCACTCTAAAGCTGGCCACACCCCTTACAACCATGGGACGACTTTCGTCTTGCCCTGGTGGTAAGGTGATTAAAATGTCGGACGATCTGCCCATCTTGGACAGGCAGATAGCACTTGCAATCATCGCAAGCCCTCCCCGCTGAGAGGAGGGCTTGCCGATGATTGCAATGCTGAGCGGGCAGTGTGCGCTTGCGCACACAATGGCCCGTGCGGCTTTTGTCTTCCGAGCACGCTACCAACCCGTCGGAAATCGTACGATTTTTCGGGGGGGGTTTTCCAGCGTGCTAGGAAGACGACAGCCGTGCGACCGTACAGTAGATGCGGTCGCACGCTGCCCATACACCTGCCGATTATCGTACGATCCCGGGACGTCTATGGACGCGCACGGGTGCTACCATTAGAACGATGGTGGCACCCGTGCAGGGGGAGGCGGGGGGGAGGGAAGAGCATGGTGGGGGACTAGAAAACGAGGAATGAAGTACTTTTACAGAAAAAAAAGCAACAGCCTCCAGGAAAAGGAGGGTCTCCTTATGTAACGCTCCTAATTCAACGGCCAGGATCTCAACTGCAGAGTTTTGTAACATTTTACACACCAGGGTAGTGAGGTTTTGGTTCTATAGGTTATTCAGTATGTATTCCAGGCGGTTCTCTCGGACTCAATTCGGAGAGTTAGGAATTGTTAACATCATACACCTCTCCCTAAACATAAGGCTGTTGTTAATTAGTCTAGGGCAATCCTAAAGGTGGCCATACACTGTACAACCATCGCAAGACCTTAGTCTTGCGATGGTTGTAAAGGGATTAAAAAAACGTACGATCTGCCTATCTTGGACAGGCAGATCGCACTCTCGATCATCGCAAGCCCGCCCCCCTGTGGGGCGGGCTTCCGATGACCGCAATGCTGAACGGGCAGTGTGCGCGTGCGCACACCGGCCCGTTCAGCATTTGTCTTCCGAGCACCGTTCTAACGTACGATTCCCGGCTGGTTTTCGAACATGCTGGTTCGACGGAAGACGTGCGACCGTACAGTAGAAACGGTCGCACGTCTCCGTTCACACTGCTCGATTCTCGTACGATCGCGGGATTTCCCGCGATTCTCGTACGAGAATCGAGCAGTGTATGGGCACCTTTTAGTGAAGTTTAGTAATGCAGCAATTCAATGAAGTATCCCAGCAATGTTAAGCAAGCATCAAGTGAAGTAACAAAATGCAGCAGTTCAATTAAGTATTCCAGCAATGTTTAAGCAAGCATCAAGTGAAATGATAAGCGGCAGTTCAAATGAAGTATACCAGCAAGTTTAAACAATGACCATCTGTCCATAGGATTGCATGGTAATTGGCGGTGGTAGTTAGGGCAGAGACTGCTGATACTTGAGGTTTTTGGAGGGACCCCGGCTGGGTCAGCGGTGTCTGTGGCTGTTGGGGTGTAGGCGAGAGAGGTCCCAGGTTCCTGGTTCGCAGGGACAGGCGGATAGAGTTAGCAGGGCGTTCACTCTAAATGAGTGGAACGCCGTGCTAAGCTCCTCTTCCGCATTTATCGGAGCAGTCGGGTTGGTGGGCGGAGCCGAGTGACGGCCGCTGTACGTTGCGTTCCACTCTGGAGCGCAAGCCCTGAATGTCGGCAAGGGGATCTGCCTGCTGCGCTCCAGGTGAAACGCTATATCAATGTGTTACACCTTAACCCCTTCATGACTGAGCTAGTTTTCAGGTTCTGTTCATAAATGACTGACACACTTTTTACATTGTTGCTGTGTGATTCTTCCACGTCAGTAATATACTTTCTTACTAAATGTACCCACTCATATGATATATTGTTTTTTAGAGGACAGATAGGTACATGTTTGATATAATTATATAGCCCTAACGCCTCACTTAGTTTGAATCAAATATAAAAAACTAGAAGAAAACACTTCTTTTTTCACAAGTTTTGATTATTTTTTTAGACATTTTTTATAATAATTATAGTATAAAAATATATTTATATATAATTTTTATTTTCCTAATTTTGTTTTACACTTTATTTTTATTTTTTATACTTTGTGAAAAAAAAGTAAAATAAACAAACTTTCAGTTTATATTAAGCAGTCACTATGACTGCTTGATAAATTTCCTTTTTTTTTTTTGGCTATTATCAGGCTGCTCCAAACTTAGGAACAGCTAATAATAACCTTAGAGACTGATCCTGACAGCATGTCAGATTCAGATCTCACTAAAGCTCTTTGATCGGCCCAGACGATCAGAAATGATACATTTCAAGCAAAGAGATATATTGTATCTCTTGTATCTCTTTGCTTGAGATGTATGACACAGCTTCATAGACATCGGGTCAGTCTATGGAGCTGTCAATACAAATAGCAGGGAGGTGAGTCACTCTGCTGCCTCTGTGCTATCTTCAGCTGTCAAATACCAGAGGCTAATAGCGATCCCGTATTTGCATGTAACAGCTTAATTATTTCATTAATGAAAGGAAGAAGCTTTTACAAAAGCTTAACTATTTCATTAATGAATGCCTCAATACTGACCCATCCATTAATGACTGGTAACCGCTGAGAATCAGCAGTTACCGGCATTACAGAGCCTGATATAACTCGGCACGTACAGTGTCCGTGTCCAGTCATATAGGCACAAAGTGCCGGGACGTACACTGTACGTCTCCCGTCACAAAGGGGTTAAAGGTGAAAAAAAATATTTGGCTTTAATATCACTTTAAAGTGACATTAAACCCTCAGATTTTTTAACATAAAACAATAGTGTAATGTGCGCCTTACTGTAATCCATGGTTGTTTCCCTTCTCTTTGCTGCTCTTCCTTTTAAATCTGTATCTCTTCTCATGCTGGGGCAGAACTTCCCTTTTCAGCTGAGTGCCTCCTCCTGTAGTGCTGGCTCAGGTTGTGAACCTGCACACAGACACCATGTATCCATTTCAGAGACAAGGCAGTCTGCTGCAAAACAGAAGTTCTGCCCAGCATGAGAAGAGATACGGATTTAAAAGGAAGAGCAGCAAAGAGAAGGGAAACAACCATGGATTACAGTAAGGCGCACATTACAGTATTGTTTTATGTTAAAAAATCTGAGGGTTTAATGTCACTTTAAGTTTTCTCAACTTATGTCTGTCATTCAGAGCTGCCTGTAATAATCTTTTGCTGGTGTTTTACAAAGCACATAAATTATTTATCTTCTTTTTTATGACTTTGTGAATGTTACAGGTATTGCGTTGTGCAGCAAATATGTCTGAAGATGAAGTCGACAAATATGTAGCCGATATAACGCAAGCAAAGAAGGTCAATGTAGAAAAGGATAAAAGGTTTGTGATCTGGCAGCAGGTGAAGCACCCATCTATTTCCCAGGAATCTGACACGGCACTGTTGCCCTTCTGTTGTCTTGTACCAGTCTTGCCCCTCCCCCGTTCTGCCCTAACATTGACTAGTCGCTGACGGCCACAATTCCCACGTTCAGACCCAGATTTTCGGCTGAATCGGGGGGCCACCTATCCTATCCTCCTCCTCCTCCAGGCACCCTGACCAATCAGGTAAGTGACACCACCCAAAACCCTTTGAGATAATAATTGAACCCTATCTAAACCCTGTTAGCCTCTCCTGTCTGTTCCTCCAGGAAATCCCTGTGGGAGCGGAGTGCCCGACATTTCATAGGGGGTGACACCAAACTGACAGTCATTTTGGTGTCACCCCTTCAATGGTGGCACCCCGGTGCGAGCCGCACCCCCCTTGTGATGCCGCTGCGGTGACTGACAGTCATTGTTTCCTGGAGGGAGAAGATCAGGAACTGAGTGATCAGTGGTATGTTCTCGATCAATAGAGTTGACCAGAGTGACAGCGGGAGTGTCCTATGTCGGCTCGAACAATTAGGAGGATGGGTGTATTTCACTCTCCCCATAATTCAAACCGTGTACATTGTAATGTGAGATCTTTGCATTGTGTCGGCATCCATGTTATTAGCAGTGGTGTACTTGTGCAATGAGCTCAGGACTAATCGCAAACACTTTTTTGTACAGGATTGTTTGTATTGTTCTAGGTGTGCCGTACAGTTTTCTCACTTATATTATTTCTGTTTCAGATTTCAGATAAACTTGAGGATTTGCTTGTTGCAGATCTCTGGGTATAAGAAGCTCTTCTTGGAGGCGGAGGATGTGAGAAAACAGCCGTATAATTCTGACAACCCCGAACACGAGCAGCAACTTCTGGAGGTAAGTGACAGCAGAGCCGTAGCTAGCTCCTTTTGCACCTGAGGCAAGAACAGAAAATTGTGCCCCCGCCCAACAGACGTGTGATGTCACCCACAGCATCAGCTCTCTCTCCTCACCACTAGGCTGTCCTGAATGACAGCTTCCTCCTCCAGCCCCCCCTCCCCGACTGCATCTCTCCATTTCTCATCAGATCCCCGCTGCCTCTGTCCATACAGGCGGGGAAGAGCAGCGGGGATCCGAGGAGAAGCTGGAACCTGTGCACGTCGCAGGGGGGAGTGAAAATAAAAAATATTTAACTAGAGAAAATAAAGGGGGAAAAAATCATACCGCCAGTGAAACGCGCGTTTCACTGAACGAAAAAACGAGCATAAAAAAACCGCTCAGGTGTGAACCCGGCCTAAAGCACAGACACTCTTTGAACCTAATGAATGTCCTTAATCAGATCATCACCACAATGGCCCCTCCAGACAACCGGCTGCCTATACTGAACACAGTGATGTGTGTCTGTAATGTCGGGGGAAACATGCAGTATATCCCTCCCCGCATATGCTAGGAGAATGGTTCCATGTAACCCCAAGAGGTCTGGGGGTCTCCATAGTTCTGGGTCCATAGTCCGTAGGAAGGAGGCTAGCCCTCAGGCTCCTCCAGCAGCCCCAGTGACGGTTTAGTCCGTCCCAACAGTTCTGGCAGTAACTGTCTATCCTCAATCTCATTGTGACTGGCCGTGAGCGGGGAATGTCGCACATGTGCAGTGACAGTATTATCCTCTTTTATCAGTAGAAAAGGTCATGCTTACACATGCTTGCACATTTCTTAAGCACACGTTACTGCCAGTGACGTGCCGTGACTTCTGTGCTGGGTGAGGCACAGCCCAACATAGCTCCACCCCCATCCTGACTAAGCCACAATGGTCTCGTTCCCACCTTGGCGTATTTCCGCCCGTCCCTAACGCGCTACAAAACGGCCCACGCCTGAAAAGGTCCAGGTACTACTTTGGGCCGTTTTGTTGCGCGTTTCCATTGGGATACAGCCAAGTAGCCTTCGGAAACGCGCGTTTGTCGCGCGACTTTTTTTGCCGCGAATGCCTGGGTGTGAACGAGACCTTAAACAGACTCATCGCTCGCACTGCGACAGCCTTATTCCGGTGGCGCTTTTCTACAAAATGTTGCTCTTATTGCAAGACATTGCTCGTATATCAAGGCGAAATTTTTCAGAAATGTTTGCTTGTCTTGCAAAACGCTCTCAAACCAAGTTACTTGTAAACCAAGGTATTACTGTATAACAAAATGCTTCCAATGGTATAATAAACAGACCAAAATGCAGCAAATACAAGACGTTCAGTGTTGGGGTTTACATACGCGTAATGATTTTGACTGAATACATACCTAAATTATAGGAGAATTATAAGGCGAGTGATTTTCACTCACCTCATAGTTCTAGCTGACCTGTGATAATGAGACTGTCACAGGTCGGCTCAGTAGATCGGGAGGAGAGAACACATACCGGCGCTCGCTCACTTCTCGCTCTATCCGCGCAGAGAGCCGTGACTGTCACGGCTCCCCGCAGGGATTCCCCCCTCCCCTGTCCGATCCTCCAGCACTGACTGGCGGAGGGGGCGGGTACAGCTGGCTCTGCCTCTAGATAGGCAGAGCCAGCTGTCACTCACACAGCTGGTCGGATCCAGGCAGTAATGTCGGGATCCGCCCCGGCTGCCGCGTCTCAGTATATTGGGAGCTGTAGCTCGCGGTATACTGAGCCTAGGGTGACGGGAGGACGCTAGTTTGTGTCCTCCCGTGACCCTTAGGAGAACTATGGGGGAAAGCCCTGACCCCATAGTTCTCCTTTAAGGAGTGCGGCTTTACTGAGTCTGTGTTTTATTTTGTGTCCCTGCGTAGAGATATAGTGACATAGTTGGGTTGAAAAGAAAGAAACATGTCCGTGGAGTTCGTATGCACTGAATAAATCATAAGAATATTGAGACTTTTGTATATTCCCACTTTTGAGAGTCCAAAAGAAAAGTAGTACGAGTGTATGCTCCTGGATTCGTATTACATTTTGCCATTTGTTATTTTCAGCTTTGGGACTTGCTTATGCCACACGAGAAGCTGAAGTCTAGAATAACTAAACAGTGGGGCGATATTGGCTTTCAAGGTGATGATCCAAAAACTGATTTCCGTGGCATGGGCATTCTGGGACTGGCAAATTTACTGTAAGTGTATCACGCCGTTTTACAAAACATCATTATATTAGAGCTGCACCGAAATGGAAACTTTACAACCGAAATAAAAAAAATTTGTCAGTCCGAAACCGATACCGAATTTTTTTTTTTTTTAATTTACATTTTTTTTTTAAATGTTAATATTTTATTTTTATAAACTTTTTATTAATTTTTTTTATATTTTACTTTACTTTTGGGGGTCTAAACAGACCTCTGATATTTCCCTTTTAAAATAGAAAAAGAGATTGAGGACACCGAGTCCTCTCGGAGAGCGCACCGAGTCCTCTCGGAGAGCGCACCGAGTCCTCAATCTCTTTTTCTGCAGCCCATGTTATAAATGAACAGGAATCATCTTTACTGAGTGTTCCTGTTCATTCCTAACATGAGGACAGAGTGTGTTTACTATAACTACAATCGTGAATGAACAGGAAGTGATGTAGATCACTTCCCATTCATTCATAATTGAGGATGTAGCCAACATTCTATGTCCTCAATTATCTACAAACACTCAGCGATCACTGACTGCTTGTACTCCGCTCTCCTCTCTGACACGCTGTCACGCGAGCGGTGTGTGGGAGGAAAGCTCAGCCTCCTGTGACAGCGCGGCCTGTCTCCTCCCACACACCGCTCTGCCGGACTGTGATAGGCGGCTGAGCGGTGTGGGAGGAGAGACGCCGGCCGCTCACAGCACTCTCCTCCAGCAGCGGTCAGACAGCTGTCACTTTCTCTCCTCCATGATGGGACGCAGAGCAGCGCCCAGCGGGGAGGAAAGATAGCAGGATGCACCGATGTATCGGCAGGAAAATGGCTCTTTCGGCAGATATATCGGTGCATCCCTAATCATTAAGGTCACTTAAAGGGGAACTATAGCCTGTTAAGTGTTTGTGTGTTGTTGTTGTGTTTTTCTTTTGTTTTTTAGATATACATTTGAATGAGATCAGTTTTTAAAGTGCACCTTTCCTCCTCTCAAACCCAAAAGTCACCTAAATCATATTATTGTAAGTTAAAGGAGAACTATGAGGTGGGTGCTTTTCACTCACCTCATAGTTCTAGCCGACCTGTGACAATGAGACTGTCACAGGTCGGCTCAGTAGATCGGGAAGTGAGCGAACACATACCGTCGCTCGCTCACTTCTTGATCCTGTGCCTGCAGAGAGCAGTGACTGTCACTCACGGCTCCCTGCAGGGATTCCCCCCCTCCCCGCTCTGATCCTCCAGCGCTGACTGGCGGAACGGACGGGGAGGGGGTGGGCACAGCCTCTAGATAGGCAGAGCCAGCTGTCACTCAGATGGGTGGATCCAGACAGCATTGTCTGGATCCGTTCCGGCTGCGGCGTCTCAGTATACTGCGAGCTGTAGCTCTCCTATATACTGAGCTTAGGGTGACGGGAGGACGCTAGTTTGTGTTCTCCTGTGACCCTTAGGAGAACTATGGGGGAAAACACTGATCCCATACTTCTCTTTTAATACAAGTGATCTAATCAGATCACTTGTATCAAATCGAGCGGCAGCGGCGATCGTGTCCGCTCTTCTGGGGGACCCGTGACCACGGCTTAGCAGCTCACCATAGAGCCCCCGGAGCAGTTCTTCGTCTGCTCTGTGTGATCACTGAGACTGTGGAGCTGTAATCACAGCTGTCACAGAATCCCTGCGTCCTATGGCCCGGTGCGCCTTATAGAGCGCAACATACAGTACTTTATACTATTACCATGAACTGTATATACTGTATATATATAAACTGTATATACTCTTTACTTTCCCCTTTTTAGTCGTTAAACAATTGTTTTTGTTTTTGTTGTTGCAGGTACTTTAGCAGACATTATACAGAAGAATCCCGTGCAATTCTTTCTCATTCCAATCATCCAAAAATCGGGTAAGAATGTAAGGTTGTATGCCGAAGAACTTCTTCTGTAACATGCGTTTGGCCAGAGAAAGTAGCAGGAAAAAGGCTGAAGGTTTTTTTGCAAAGTTGTGCAATTTGCCCGGCTTTATGAGCCACTTCCGGCGCCGCAATAAGTCTACAGACGGTGGGGATTAAAACAAGTACAACAGCAAAAAGTTTTCCCAGCACACTCGCCAGCCAGAATGGATAGAGAGATATGAGATAGATAGACACACCTGCACCCAATTTTATTTTCTGCCCCATGTTCTCCAGGATGGAGGCTCGGATAGTTTAGAGTTAGGACCGCACTATAAGAGGTGCCTTGGCGCGGCTGTGCGGCTTTCACATTTTCTGCAGAAGACGTGTATCCAAACCTCTGTCATTGACCTTAGCGGTGAGACAAGTTGTTTTACATGCTGGCTGGTGAGTGTGCTGGGAAACTTTTTGCTGTTGTTCTGTGTAAAGCCCATTCCGTGTGCAGCTCGCTGTAAAGCTGGTGACAAATTGATGAGTGTGTGTGCCATTTGTTTTGCGTGGTTAAAACAAGAACACGGCTGCAGCCGTGTTCTTGTTTTAAGATGGATAGATAGATTGATAGATTATAGATAGATTATAGATAGATAGATTATAGATAGATAGATTATAGATAGATAGATTATAGATAGATTGATTATAGATAGATTGATTATAGATAGATTGATTATAGATAGATTGATTATAGATAGATTGATTATAGATAGATAGGATAGATAGATAATGGATGGATGGATGGAAGGATAGATAGATAGATAGATAATATATGGATGGAAGGAAAGATAGATAATGGATGGAAGGATAGATAGATAGATAATGGATGGATAGATAGATAAGGCTCATCACTTTGCATCTGTTTCAGGTACTCGTACGCGATCGTTGGCATCAACCTGACAGAAATGGCTTACAGTTTACTGAAGAGCGGGGCGCTGAAGTCTCACTTCTACAACATGGTCCCCGGCTCCCCTGAGATCAGGTGCTTCCACCAGTTCTTCTGTAAGTGAATCCGGAACCCTGCTGCTGTTGTTGGTGGGCGCCTTGTGGCGTATATTGTGGATCTCATCGTCGCGTGTACTCTTATCCGCAGGTTATCTTTCGTATGAGTTTGACAAGTTCTGGTTTAAGGAAGAGCCGGAGAGCATTATGCATTTCAACCAATACAGAGAAAAGTTCCACGACCAGATCAAGCATCTCCTCAGCAATGCCGATGTCGTTCTCACGCTCTAACGGAATGCCGCTGTCCATGCGTTATCAATCCTCTACGCACTCGCTACTCTTATTTACATTGAATCCACAATCACATGGCATGTATCTATTGTTTTTTGTCATTTTGTCTTTTTTTTTTGTTTTTACTAAAGCTGGCCGACAATCAACTTTACCACAGGTTTGTACAGAGAAAAAAAAAACTAAATCTATATTATATGCATCGAAGTCAGTTGATTCGCAGTGTGTTTTGTTCAGTGACATTATCATAACCCGCGCTAATAGCAGCAATGCAATCGTGGCCATAACTCCCCGCGGGGAGCCGCTGTTTGCCCGCTGCACATCTAGTCGGTCTAGGGGTTGATTTCCAGCTGCGCCCAGGGCCAGATTTACCTTGGGCCGCCCCAAGGCCAGGTTCCACAAAAAGCCCCCCCCCCCCTTTCCCATCAATGGAGAATGGCAACCGGGTGGCAGGGTTAGTTTCAATTTTTTTTATTTTTTACTGTTTCTTTATTTTTTTTTAAACTTTTTTTATCACTTTTTTATTTTTTTATTTAATTCTTATTTTTTAAAATTGCTTTTTTATTTAATTTTTTTTATCAATTACATTTTTTTAGATTTTTATTTCTTATTTACTTTTTATAATTTTTTTATCTTATTATTGTTTATTTTTTATAATGTTCTTTATTTTTTAATAGTGAGAGAGGAAGCGCACGGCACGGCTCTCCTCTCTCGCTGTCTACACGGAGCAGCAGGGTTACTTTTAACCCCGCCGCTCACTACAGTCAGAGACGCGGCGGAGGACGGAACCAAAGGAGAGAGGTAAGTGCAGGGGGGAGGGGAGGAGGCGGCACACTGTTTACATGTCATCTCGGCGACATTGCTGAGTTCACATGTAAACGAACAATCGGCCGCCTCACTCTACATTTAGCGCGGCTTGTGCAAAGCAGGACTGAATGTAGAGAGGGCAACTTCCCCACAAGGACGCCGCTGCCGCCCCTCTGCGCCCTGCCGCTCCGAGGCCGGGCCTTGTGGGGGAATCCGGGCCTGGCTGCGCCCATTAGCACTAACCGCCCTCTTCTGGAGCCCACAAATTGATGTCCACGTCGGTGTTAGAATGCTAAGGAAACAGTTTATTGAACATCTTGCTGGGAGGGAGGGTATAGGGGGTTCTAGGTGTCCAGGGGTGACCATCAGAAGCTCCAGACTTGTAAATGTAGCAATGCAGATCCACAATCCAGGAAAGAAACGCCGACCATGCTCTGCAGTCCACATAGATCCAGGGCACTCCAAGATCCTGTACTGGTCCCGGTTCTTTTCTTCTTTCCATCTCTCAGGCCTCCTCCATGTTGAAGGCCTCAGGGAAACTTCTTCCCTCACTTCAGCCTATGCCCAACCCCAGGCCTCGGCCTAGCCTGGGGGGAGGGGGACAGGCTGAACAGGACCCAACACTAATCCATGGCTGGTCCCGGCGAGAGCACATGGCAGCTCCCACCCATATATGTACACTATCCCAGCATGCACCACTGACTGTAATATGTCTGCAGTACAGCAGCCAATCACTGGGCTTCTTACAGTATCCGCCATTGGCTGTCCCACAATATGACAGAGTCTCACTCTGCGCGGGGGGGGGTACAGGCTAGGCTAGACACCTGGGATTAACCATGTAATCGCCACTACAAATCCAGCCAGGCTGCCCCTACAGCCCCGGCAATCACTAAATGCATGGCAGTCACATGACCGAAGGTGTCGGGCGCTACACAATCCCATAGTAAATCCTCTTCCAAACATTAGATCTCTGCTGGCTGCGCGTGCATGACTATGCCACCCAATGATCTTTCTAATGAAGGAGCATGCTACGGGGACGGAAGTTTACAGATGTAGGTGTTTTATGTCTATAGATGGGGGAAGGTCGGAGAGCTGCTGTCTTGGGGATAGAGTAGGGATTGGCTCGGTCGATTTGACTTTACCTCGAGCAGGCTTGGCCAAGGGAGCATTTGCAGGGACGTGAAAGTGACTACAGACATACCAGTGTTCCCTGGTCTCGGGGCTTGTTCACACCAAATGCAGACCAGATCTGCATGAGTTTCTGCACACGCAGCGGTTTTTGACGCGTTCGGGGCCGTTTTTTTACGTTTAGAATGGGCTTTCAGTGCGTTCGCATGCGTTTTTGATGCGTTTTTGATGAGTGTTCCAGGGCAGGTAAAATAGGGCTTGCTGCATTTTTTTTTTTTTTTTTTTACATGCTCTGGAACTGAACGCTGCGGTGTGAACTGGAGCCCAAAACACCATTTCTGCAACACAAGAATGTATATGCGGGCGGGGCTTGTATATTGGCGGGGCACAAGGGGGGCCCCAAAATCTTGTATTGCACGGCGAGTCCCATGTGTTGTCACCCCTAACAATAGCGCCTATGATCCTTAGCAACCTGGCAACCCATGGGCATGAAATGAACTAATATTCCAACCAGGGCCATAGAAAACAAACAGAGAAAAGGGAAAAGCCGCTCCATCGCCTCTGAAAAAAAGTCCGTTGTATAGCTGTACTGAGGAACGTACCCCGACACTAAGGCCCCATTCACACTCCGCGATATGCAAATTGAGCGTTTTGCATATTGCGCGATATCGCGTTCAAGCTTGCATTGAGCGAGCTTGAATCGCGGCTAAATCCGCTCCAAAAAGGGTCCTGCTGCAGCGACCCGCGACAGCACGACCCTTTGCCCCATTGAAATGCATTGAAGAGCGATATCGCGCGGTAATTTGCCGCGATATCGCGGGAATTTCACGCGCGATAAAATCGCTCAATGTGAACGGGGCCTTACAGGGTACCATATATCAGGCGGGTTTACCACCAATACAGTCTTCCAAGCCTTGGACAGGCTGACCCTGAGTGGAAGAGCAGTAGGGGGATTGTTGCCGAGTTCCACTGACGTGTTCAAGAAAGAAATATGTACCTCAGAGAGTGACAAAATGGTGGCCTGGCCCGAGAAACAACACTGTCTGGGGGACTCCTTATCCTAATAGTTGGAAGGTGGTCTTTTGGGGTCATGGGCGAGGGGTTGACCCTTAGTATGCTGACATGAGGTGAGCCAGAAAGTTTTTTTTGGGGGGTCATATGCAGGTTTAACGCTCCGAGGATATTCGGTGTATGAGTGTATAACCAAGCATGCCCCCTAGATGGCACTGTCGCTGCATGACTTGAAGGGGAGGCGGAGGAGATTTATCAATGCGGAACAGGAGCAGTGATAGGAAATATAACACGGCAAGGCGACAGATTTACTATGACCTCACTGCGTGGTTCTGACATGGTAAATCTCCCCCGCATCTTTTACAAAACTGTCTCCATTGGTTGCAAATAGAAAGATAAGCGTTTGCAAATCCCTGGCTGAGAAGCTGCCTATTTGCAGTGAACTAACTCCGTTGGTAATCTGCTGGAGAAATCTCCCTTCAGGTGCCCATACACCGTACGATTCTCGTACGAGAATGGCGGGAAATCCCGCGATCGTACGAGAGAAATCTGTTTCTATACTTCCAATTCGGGTTGCCACCTTTTCTTCAAGCGAAACACTCAAGCGACGCGCAGACATTTTTTTGGAGAATGAGTCGCAGCTTATTCATATGTAAATATCACAGTTGAGACTATTTTCATTGGGGGGGGGCAGTAGCCCCTATCTTGATTTTGGTTGCCCCTGTCTGCCTGACATCTTGTGTCCGGGTTTCTGCTGCCATGACACCCGGACACGGCATTCAAAACCCGGACTGTCCGGGTGAATCCTGGACAGGTGGCAACCCTAGTTTTTTGTGGGGGGCAGGTGTTCATCTGTTGACTCGAAATGAAACTTTTCCCTGCAATCCTACTTCCAATGTACGGCGCTGTAAAGACCAATGGACTCTTCTACCGAGGGGCCTCCAGAGGCGGGGTGTCACCCGGAGCGGCCACTGAGTGACACCCCGCTGTGATGTCATCACACACGTGCAATGTCAATCACCAAGAGAGAGGGGGACACACCCGGCGTGATAAGGCATGCCGCAGGTTCCCCTCCTCTCTCATGCAACTGTTGGGCTTTTCGGTCCATGACAGAGTGCCTGACTTAGAGGGCGTGACTGTCCATCATTTTGATGTCACCCCTCCAATGGTGTCACCAGGCTGCAGGTCACACCCCCTAGAGATGCCAGTGCTCCTACCTCCCTTATATTGCTAATGATACTTCAGATCCAATGCACAGAGTGTTTCTAAAGGACCCGCCCCAGTTATACCACTCCCGCAGCAGCCAACACTGGAAGTCAATGTGTCGACTGTATTGGGGAACGTTGAGTGTCCCCAGGGGCATCCCTACACTTTTTGATGCCTGAGGCAGAGTGTTGGGGGCGCATGTTACGAGGGAGTGTTGCAAGGTTACCTCTGTCCGGTGTCCCACCCAGCTCACTGATGTCACTGGTTGCTAAGGAGCTGGGCAGAACGCCAGCCAAAGCATCCCGCTCAGACTTCAGTGTGTTGGGTAGGATGCTGGCCAAAGTGTCACAGGCTGCTTAGAGCTCTTAGCAACCTGGAACTCTGTGGCCAGAAAGGGGGCGGCAGGTGTGCTCACCCCATAACCCAAGGAGATGCTGCCTGAGGCAACCGTCTCGGGCTGCCTCATTATAGGGACGGCCTTGAGTGTCCTCCACCTGTCATGTTAAAGTGCTCAGGAGTAGTGACTGCTATACCCATGTGCTCTATAGCTGCCCACACACCTTACAATTATCTGCAGATATTCTGTGGTCAGATGGAAAAGGTGCAACAGATTCCTCCAGCTACACTTAACTGTGTGGCCCAGGTGGAGATTACTCCATCCAATCTGTTGCACTTGTTCCATCTGACCACAGAAAATCTGCAGATAATTGTAAGGTGTATGGGCACCTTAAGGCCCCGTTCACATTGAGCGGTTCGCAAAATCGCGCGTTTGTCGCGCGATTTGCATTTTGCGCGATATCGCACAAATGCTTGCATTGAGCAAGCTTGAATCGCGGCTAAATCCGCTCCAA